TCAGGCGGCGTTAGTGAGGACAGTGAAATGGCGGCGCAGGGAGGAGTCGCGTTCCAGGAGAAGGTCAGCAGGCTGCTCAGCAAACACAACGGGAGACCAGTGCTGAAACCCAACAGGACTCTGGCTCTCAGAGACTCTGTGGCCAACCGCAAACAGAAGAAAGGAGGTGTGAATACACAGTGTACAGCACATACATCCAGTGTCAATCCAATACTCGAAGCTATGGGGACTAACGTGTTAAATGTCATTATAATCAAGCTAATAATTGACTTAAAAAGCAGCGATCAACTAATGTCTAAACTCACAATTGTTACCAGATAGTGTGAACATATTGGGCTGTCATGTTACCAAAATGTGCTAATGCAAGGATTCAGTCTGTTAAATTGCACACACACCACATGCACACATTGAATGGTGTTATGGATGAGGATAGTACACAGTTCAGTGCACTGATCATCAGTTTGATCATTTTACATTTGATTGTTTCATACGTATGTTGTATTGTGACACAATGAGAGATTAGTTTCTGAAATTATAACCTAGATATAAAAATATACATATATAAAGCATAGGTAGAGGGGGATGTTAAATTGATTACAGTATGCCTTGATTGGCTCCACAAGGATCTAGTTTGAAAGTTCAAAGGTCGTAAGCCAGTGCCCACCTGCCGCTGATCAATACTGGGAACAGAGAGGCTCAAGTGCAGCTGGTTATAGGCTAAGTTTGTTTGAACCAGCAATGTAGAGAAGCCTCAGTGCTAGCCTTCGGATAGTAGTAGAATAATGTGAGAGATACTAGAGAGGTCCTCGAGTGACAAAGAAGCACCTCGTTAAGTGGAGACACCCTGTTATTGCGTCTCAGCGCTTAGAGCATACCTCGCGCGTTACCGACCATGTCCCTTCGCTGTGTCGACCCCAGATGCTCTCCCCTTAATACAGTCGCTTTGACGTGTTGTTTCATGTGGTCGCTCATCACAATTTGCTTGGCATGTACACAGAGAATCAAACCCTAGTCCTCAGTCTCTCTCCGCTACATAGAGAGAGTTCTTTTGGCCGTACCTCTCTTTTATCTAGTACGAACTGGGAAGGCACTGAGGAGGCTACCTTACAAATTCAATAGGAAACATCTCAAGCGCAGCGTGCGCTGTACGTGCAAGGAAACCACAGCAGGAAAAGAGACACCTTGGTTGGCACTCGAACATAGATACATCAATGAGGGATTCCCAGAAGAGGACCACGCCAACACAGAAGTACAGGTGTGTATTATTATCGAGAGAACTAATCGCAATTTCTCTGCACCACAAATGGGCGCCACCCTGGATAGCAATCAGGCAGAGATCGATTGTACAGATCCCTGTAGAAGTCTAAGGCTCATGTTGGAAGCAGCACACCTTTGCAGACGAACCATGCTCTTATGAGATGAAATCCTTCTTCACTTGTGTGGAGAAGGCTCAGGTATGTTCACATACACAGCAACACAACTGACACATGGACTGGTTTGGGCTGTAGTGAAGTTTCTAATGCACACTGGGTAATTCTGGGAAGCATTATTCAGATTTGACATATTAGACATTTGTTACCACAGTAGTCAGAAATAGTGAAAACATGGACCACTTGACCATCCACCACATTTCAACTGATGTACTGTGTAATGCTACTGTGCTAGCTAGCTAGCATAATCAATCAAGAGTTGCATTTAATTATCACAGACCATTTATATTAGTTATATTTAGTTTATTTTGATTTATATAATATAAAATTCAGAATTCCTAAAAATAAATTCATCATACAAGCAAAGCAAAGTACTGTGTGCAAAATAGCTCCGCTGTGCAAGTGTCTTATAACAGTACCAAACATCCGTAACTAAATTAGTTTGAAATAAAATAGGCATTCAGTAGGGCTTTCCCCTAATGGTCGACGTGAATACAGGGTCAGCAGCAAAACACTACATAGAAAAGGCCTACTTATGAAGATCAATATCAGTCAAAGTGTACACTGTGTTTAGAATATTTCCACTGCTTTACCTGCCGACAGACAGCCCTTTCCAACAGGAAGTCTTGCATTGCTCTCTTCAAAGGCACCAGACTTCATTGACAAAAACAGCAATTTTTCCTCAAAGAACACAAGAGTTTCTTGTCCACCGCTAACAGTCAGTTAGCTTGCCTGTGTTAATGTGGGACTTGGGTGTTTTAACACATTAGTTGTGATATTAGTTGCTGCAGACTCAGGCAGTGGTGGACCACCAACTTCTGTGTTCTGCGAGGTAAAATGGCCGTTTTTGTCAAAGGAGTTTGGTGGCTTCTGTCGGAAAGGGCTGTATGACAGCAAGGCAAAGTGGTGAAAATACTCAAAATCTTTGGGTGGGCAGTGTTTTTTATGTGGCTAAAATATGTCTTTCAGCTGCCCTCATCCACAGCAGTGCATTGTAGAGGGCTGCATTGGGATTGGGACCCAACGCAAATCTCGCAGGGGTCAGTGGTTTTGACTTTGCTGCAGGTGGGAGCAGGCGGCCGGTATTTATCTTGCGCCCATTAGAAGGATGGAGAGTGAGCAAATTAGGTTTAGAGGAAGAGTAAAGCAGGTTTTTACAAAACAACAGTAAAGCAAGGCAAGTCTGCATTTGGAGACATTTTTCAGCTGTTAACTGACAGTGAACTCTTTTGACCTGCGGGACAGGAGAAGGCATGAAATCTCTACTGTGAATGGTCAGCAATGTGAATGGGAGCAGACGGGAGTGGAACACACAACACACTACTGTATTAAAAAGCACTGGTAACAAATGATCTTCCTCTCTCACAGGCTGCTATGAAGAATAAAACTGACCAGACCAGCATGAAGGGAGAACGTCTGCCCCCAAAAGTAGCCATAACCCTGCTGAAGAGATACCCTAACCTACACACTGAGATCTAGGAAACAAACCTCTTAATGAATCACTGATACAGACTTGAAATGTGCAGGTTAAAAAAACACCATTGGACTGAGCCCTGGAACTGGAGTTCATCATGTTACGTTATGTTGTTAATGACTGTATGATTCAACACCATATACATTTATTAAATAAATAAAGCAAGGAGCAGAACACTGAAAGAGATTTCAGCACAAACACTCCTTCCAAAGGTTATTCACTCATTTCATATTGTCGCTGTAATGGTGCAGCCTTTGTATTCACAACACGCTGCGTTTTATGGTTTGAAATATAATGTGACTTTCTCCTCGTGTCCTGAATTGGCTCTGATGAAAATTACGCCATTTCGTCTCAATCCAATTTCCTAGAGTGGGCTTATTCAGTGCTGGGATGTCATTAGTGGACACGATGGAATTATTCTTCTTGGGTTTCATGGCTCCTGGCCGGCAGCTTACTCTTATCACCGAACACTTAAATGCCTTGTCATTCCTGTAGAGGCTGATGCTGAAATGAAATCAGCCAGTCAGACAGATAGGGTTACATAGGTTACCAGTAAGCAAGGCTCAGTGGTTGATATGGATATTCCTGAATGGATTTAAACTGTTTTTCTTTATCGAGTCTTTTATCTGTCTTATTATTCATAATTAAATCTGTGGCAACATTTTGTTTGCTGTTTTTAATTGATAATTGCACTCAAAGTTCACAGTTTTGAAAGCTGCGTGTATGTTTTTGCACATACTATATCATTTCATGTCCAATCACGTTGTTTTATACATTCATTATGAAACAATGTAGCATGGATTGGGACACTGCCCTCTCTTTCTTTCTGTGCACCGAGCATCAATTTAAAATCAGAAAATATCAGTGTGAATATAATGGTTGGATGCAAGGACATGTAATCGTTAACATGTGACATGCATTTAGCATTAAGCACTTCCTCACAAGAGGTCACAGTCTGCACAATGCATCACAGACTGATTATAGTTTTGTCAAAGATATGTTCCGGGTTCCCACACATTCTGGAAAACAGGAACTTTAGGGACTAGTTTTCCAGTCATGGAAACTGGTTAAAATGACCAAATATCCTGAAAATGATTTATGCTGTACTGGAAATGATTGACGTGAAATAGTAGGGTAAACACAGGTGTTACTGTGTTTTGATACTGATTATTGTTCTGTTCCAATTAGGTCAGGGGGCTTGTCTGCTCACTGGAAATGCTTTGCTATACTTATGGAATAGAGTGTTCGTTAGTGTCATTGCTAACACTTGTGTTTACCCTACTATTTCATGTCAAAATGGCTGCTGTGAAAAAGGTAACCACGAAAGTGAGCTAACGCAGAGTGTCCCATAAACCTATGGCTGACCACCATCATGATGTGGCTAACCAGAAGTTGTACACTGAAGTCTGAAATTGATAAGAGTTGATCAGAAGTTGCTATATTTATTAGAAAACTATTTACAGAACAACCTCAGAATTGAGCTTCAGAGCAATGTTTGGATTGACTATTTTTAAATAAACGTTGCATCAACCCTGAGGTTAGTGGACAAGTTACCACACAAATCTCCTCTAATACTCCTCTCTACATGACTCTATGCTGATCTTGATTTGTAAAACCTGTATCTCCTGACAGGGGCATTGCATTTGCTTCTAGTTTTTTTCTGGGTTTGAGTTTCACAGTATAGTGAATATGATGCTGAACCTGCAGAAATGCAAGTATGTTTTTCTTCTCAGATAAATAGGTAAATATCAAGTACTACTTTTTAATTAAAGGCTCAGTGTGTAAAATTTAGGAGGACCTATTGGCAGAAATTTAATATAATAGGTATGGTTTCGTTATGGGTTAGTGTATAATCACTTGAGAATAAGTCTTTTTGTCACCTTAGAATGAGCTGTTGTTATCTACAGAGGGAGCGGGTTGCCTTCTGTGGAGGCCCGTTCCTACAGTAGCCCCGAACGGACAAACCAAACACTTTTTTTGCGCGTTTCTCCCTTGTGCTTGAAAAAGTAGGGTGAAGCAAGGGAGCTTCTCTCTGAAACTACACCGCTAGATGCCACTAAATCCTGTACACTGGTCTTAACATTACATCAGATTATCTAATAATATGTGTTATAGATAAAACCATCCTAGAGTATTATTGTTTAGCTGTTTGTATCAACTTTATTATTTATTACATACAATTTCCCCCTTGCTTCTAGTCTTTGTGCTAAGCTAAGCTAGGCTGCAGTATATTTACTGGCGCAAGTAACATACACATAATTCATATCACTCCTCTCATCTGACTGGAACAGCATGCATGTTTAAGGTTGGACTGTTTCTGATGCTTCATCCCTTTTCAATGACTGCCCTCCCTCTTAAATTATATCCCATGTTTCCTGATTTTTCCTGACGTCCTCTTCCAGTTTATCGTGGCAGAAATATTGACATTTTGTTAATGATGCTCTTAGTGTGGATTTGGTTTCATGTTTTGTCTAAGGGACAGGAAGGATTGTGTGGTATGTTTGCACCCACCATTGTCAAAATGTGGTATTTTTGCTGCTTCCCTGTTTATCTGCCCGTCATTATACAGAACCATTTCCCCGCCCTGCTTATCACTTCCTCCCAAACATCTCGACCGCAGAGTAACTTCCTCCACAGCCCGCAGCAATTACTTACCCACTGGTGCACACACGTCTTCAGGCTTCTTATGCACAAGCATTACTTCAAGAGACAGTACAGCTAACAGGAAGGGGCCAAACATCACCTCACACAAAACTACAAGGCTTCACTAGCAGCCCTATGAGATGCTCTTTACACACCAGACAACAAAATAATTGGATAGAATGTGAGAGACAGCTTTGCTATCCTTATCATTATTAGGGCAAAATATGTCATATTTGGCCTCAGGTTGGTGTTGCATATATATATTTGTTTTAATAAAAAATGGAAAGAGAGGTGAGGGGATGGGTGTCTCCAGAGTTGTTTATATTGAGGAATTATTGTATTGTGTAAAATATTACTGGCAAGTATCAAAGGTCCAGTGTGTAACCTTTCAGGAGGATCCAATGGCAGAATTACAATATATTATTAATAGGTATGTTTTTATTAGTGTATAATCACCTAAATATTAGAATCGTTGTAGCTGTTTTTATCTACAGAGGGAATGGGTCCTCTTCTATGGAGTCCGCCATGTTTCTACAGTAGCCCGGAACAGACAAACCCAACACTGGCTCTTCATAGGGGCATTCACATTTTTTTGTAGCCACTGTAGTTTCTCTTTCACACCTGGAAGGGGAGGGTGAAGCGAGAGAGTTGCAATCTACAACTGGACAACTACATGCCATTAAATCATACACACTTGACTTTCGGTTGGTTTGTTGGCTGGTCAAACTTGTTCCCTGACACGACTACATCAATGAATTGGTGAAAAATGGTGAGAGCATCATCCAAACTCAGAAATTCACTGTTTCAGTATGCTCAGAGCATCCTCTTGACACAATGGAGAGGTTACGTCAGATTGTTAGCTAATGTTACAGGCTATCAGTAACATTTGCTAAGGTACTTGCCTATGACGAGTTTATGCATTAAAAATGCTAGCTAATTTACCAACCTATGTTGTTTTATACATACATATACTAAAGAAAGTTAATATATATACAGTACAAGAAAATGAAGCTAAAGTTCACTTAAATCTGTTTTAGATTTGTTTTGTTTTTTCTCCTAAAAATGAACAAAAAGAACCAATGAGAGTATCGGTAAAGTATGATATTGATAAGCAGTATCGGTAAAAGTAGTGGTACTGTTAAAATCTTAATGATACCTATCCCTACCTATGGAGTGGCATCAGATAATCAATCAATACCTAATAATACTACACCTGAATCTACGTAGCTACCACTCAGTATTGATAGTGTACTAAGATCCATTCTGTGGTCCATAAACTTGTTGGTTGTTACAAGTTTATTTACTTGATACAGACCCTTCAAAATGATGAGTAAACAAGGCATAAAGCTTTATGCCTTGTTTACTCATTACTCATTTCCTCAGTGACTGCCTTTGAAAACCATCTCAAAGCCTGAAGCGGCTTTCTGTTTTTGTTGGGCCCCCTGTCGATGCCTTGTTGTGATTTATTCACACTAAATCCTCAACTGTTGCTGAGTAGTTCAGTGGGATCTTTGAAAATGTTGCTATCTTTGACATCCATCTAATGAGTTAAGACACATCTGAGGCCTCAGCCCCGAGAGGGCGCTGTTTTGATGATACGATCAGGATAAAGCTTTACAGTCATCTGTGTTTGTGAGAAGTGGCCAAGATAAACAATCAGTGCCTCGAAAGTTGGCCATTGAAACCCAGCCTATCAGGCTTTATTATTGAGATAAATCATGGCCGTGCCCTGCTTATCTCCGTCTGATCTTCTGAGTTCTTTGGTTAGTCTTACAGTGACAGGATGTTGACTTCCACTGCTGTTGTTTGCAGAGCCTCCATTGTTCCCCAGGTGTCAGAATGTCGCTATCAGCAGGTTTAACTTCAGGTTGAACCCTCAAAATATTATCAAATTATGACCACACCCTAATCGATAAGATACGTAGGTCTTAAGCAACTTAAGATCTGTATTGATTCTTTGGTTCAAGGTAATGTTGCTGTTGAATTTGTAATATACAAGCAGTCAGTTTCCGGTGTAATGGGTAAAGCTTTGAGAGCCCTGTGGTGTCCCTGGCTCAGACTGCCAGGATCCTGGGTGTGACACTGGATGACCAGCTGTCCTTCGCTGCCAACATCACTGCAACAACCCGCCCCTGCAGATTAATTCTGCACAACATCTGGATCTGAGCCAGTGCTTTGGTCAAGGGCACTGACTGGAGAAATTAACCTAACATACATGTTTTGATGGTGGGAAACCGGAGCGCCTGGAGGAAACCCATGCGGACACGGGGAGAACATGCAAACTCCGCACAGAAAGGCCCTGCCCCAGCCGGGAATCGAACGCTGGACCTGTAAGGCGACAGTACTAACCACACCGTGCCGCCTCAGTAGTCATGGCTTGAACCACACCCATCTTTGAACTCTGCCTTTATTATGATCTAAACTGCACACCTGTACAGTTTCTTGACAGTTGTGACACTATTGTGTCATAAACACAGACATAAACACCTGCCTCACTACTGAAAATGAAATATTTTCCCTAAAAAGATGTCTAAAAAATGCAACTTTCCTTTATTAATTTAACACACCTGTCAGAATAATCAGATTATTGGATTGGATCAGATACAATGCAAAGTAAATCCCATGTCAGATAGGCTATATAAAAGTCTGGGCTTGGGGAAAGAGGTCTTTCCAAATCAATAGGACAGCAGCTGAGCAGAGTTCACAGTAGGTTGTACATTGTGTTTAGCGTGGACCTGTGTATTGTAAGTTGTACTTTTATGATTTTTTAATGTTAGTGAGTTGTATTTTTTATGTAATGGTGAAACTGAAGACAAATTTCCACATTGTGGACAATAAAGTTTTCATATTTATATTACCTGTATCATGTATACCATGGTGATACATTCAGTATCAGTACTGCTTTCCAGGGGTGCTGGGTACTCCTGTCAACTGTTCAGGAGTCTGATTTGTTTTTTGGTTTTTTTGCAACGTCAGCATCGTTGAGATACTAAGTGAATATTTTGAGAAAGTTTACAGAAT